GGAACCGATCGGGGTACGCCATTGCTCGAGAAAGGCGCAGGAAACCTGGACACGTTTCCGTCGGGGGAATTCTCGATTTCGCGGAGTCGGGTCGCCGGGGAGTTTGAATGCGACCTGGGAGAATGACGGGGCGATTGTTTTCCTGACTTCTATCCCGTTCATTATTGCGCCGGTTATTGTTATTGCCATTATTTGGTAAAACGCTCCTCGGTTCTCGGATTACACGCCGCGTCGTGGGGGCCTGCGAAATCCGAAATGAACGCGTGCGGACAGCGGGGGGTTGGTTTGCGAGGGGCATGCGAGGGGTGGGTGGAAACGCGCATTAGACATAACCTCAACGTCCCTCGCACCTTCGTTTTCACGAGGGACGTTGAGGTCATGCCTAATGCGCGAGTCCCTCGCACCTTCGGTCTCGCGAGAGACGTTGGGGTTATGTCTAATGCGCGCGTCGGCTCGGCTAAGTGTCGCGCATATTTTCTGGGGAATTTATAAACGAATCGCTCGGGATCTGGACGTGAAACGTCAGGGGGCATGTGTCATGGCGGCGGGCGATCGCCGACAGGCTCCCAGCGAGGGGTGGCCGGGAATCGAAGGCGCGCGGTGGATAAAAACGAGTCTCGCGATAACGAGGCACCTCGCGGTGTACAGTGGCGCAGGCGAGAGGGGGACCCCCGCGGTTCGCACAGCTGCGCACCCCCCGCGCGCAGCGCCTGAGCACGTGACCTCGGGCGGCCCGCGGATTGGAGGAGGCGCGTCCAGCGGCGCCGCCGCCGGGGACCCGAGTACCACTTTGCAAGCCCCCTTTTATTCACCGCGGATAGCACGTGTGCGACGATTTCTCAACCCCTGACCGTTTGCTCATATGTGCGGATTCTTTTTTCTTTTTTTCGAACTCGCCGCCCCGTGAAATCTGAAGCCGTCTCGTGAGAATTCGACGCCCTATCGTGTCGGCTTGGGTGGACGATCGATTGAAAAAATAGGTTCGATCGAAAATAAGAAAATATATATACAAGAAAAAACATGGAATCTGCGCGAAGGCCTTTATTTTCTCGGATATCTTTGTTTATTCTTAGTCGGAGATAACAAAGTTGGATAATTGGCCTCGGCAAGTTTCCGTTTCGAAGCCACTTCGAAAATTCGAGGTTGCTCCTCGAAACGGACGAAAGAGCTCCCTCGAGGCGTCGTCTGGTGAAGTCTGGCCCGAAAGTACATAGAAACGCCTCTCGGAGGGCGAAACTACTTAATTCAGGCAACCATTGCTCTCGACAAACAGTAAAGCTCTACTTATTTCTCGCTCTCTACCACCTCGGGACTTTAAATCACCCGTCAGTTCCGCGGTTCTCACTTGGCCCGGAATTTCGACCTCGCGCTGCGTCCCCTTCCGCCGGGCTCCGACAACTTGGACGAGAACACTTCGCGTTAGATAGGGTTAGTCATGCGTCGAGGTGGAAAAGGTACGAGAGGTGGGGTTGCCGAAAAACTTACTCGGGGAACATCGGCCGTCCTCGAAGGCTCTTCCCTGTCTGGCCTATTAGGGCGAGGCCCATTGTTCCTCCTCCGACACTCGGCCTTCCGTGATTTGGCGCGTGAACGGTTGACATATAATTAGCATTCGGCGTAAAGAAGGCCCGGCTGAGGATGACAGGAGACACAATGCATCCCTACTTCACCCTAGACCCTACGACTCGGTCAGGCGACACCCTCGCCCTAACCGGTGCCCCACGTCGCCCATAAACCGATTCGAAATTGCGGTACCCTAATCGCCAAGGGGTTCCCTACCGCCGGTTACTTAGAGGTTAAATAACCTCCACCGAATTTCGAGTCACTTCTCGATGAACAGCGGTAACCGGGAAAAAGTGCAATTAAAGGCGCGGAGGGATTCTTTTAGACTGCGAGCGGGTGTCGATAAGGGATGAGCGGGTTTCCGAAGAATTCGGCAACGAGCCTCTTGGCACGCCTTATTCTCTTATCGCCACTTAAGAGAGAAGAACGATGGTCGGGCGAGCTCATGAACCGACGTACCCACTTCCAGAAGGGGATGTGATCGATGCATTCACCACACGCGATGCGCCCCGAGCCGCCCACCGTCCTACTCATCCTTTCCCACCGACTGGAGAATGTTCCCTCGAAAGACTGGATCGCGTTTCGTGACTGGGCGAATGGTACTCTCGATTTAAAAAAATATATCTAGGTTTATGTAGAGAGTTTCGAGTCGCGCGCGAATTATCCAAGATGGCGGCGCGCATTAGTTATCCAAAATGGCGGCGCACGCGACACGCCGGCAGTCGAGGTGAGGAGGAAGTCGATTGAAAGAGGAGCGCAATCGACGAGGACGGCGCGGAAAGGGGTGGCCGCGGTAATTAACGGCTCGGCAACGCGCCCGAGCAAATTTGCAAAGCCATTTCAAGTTTCCTCGGAGGAACACTCCTTCGGGTTCCTTTAAAGTCCGCGACGCGGCCGTTCATCGGCGCCTGACGGTTTATTGGGGCTGATTGGATTCGCCGGTCCGCCGGTAACGGCATCGGCAAAGTTTGCACATTTAGCGACGCGCCCGATTTACCGGCCCTGCCGTGAATTGCCTCGGTGAGAGACCCGTCGAGCGTTATCGAGGAGCATCGTTATCGAACACCGACTCAATTTCCTCGAGCAAGCCGAGCATTGGCCCTCCTGAGATTGAAAATGCCAACATCGATCGGACGGACTTTATCTTCCCTTCCTCCTGACTCGTTCGGTTAAGAATCGAGCGGGATGACGTTCGCTCTTTTTTCCTCTAGCGAAACGAATTTTTATTACACGGGAAAAAAATGCGTTACGGAACTCGAAGATGCGTTTAAGCGAGACACGAGGAGACGGGAGATTCGAAATGCCAGCCAGTGGCCGGCTGCGTAGGAGCCACTGCCAATTGAGTTGATTTCAATTATGATAGCAAAATGGCCTCTCAAAGGTCCGCCATGTTTCATCCGGATTGAGATCAATTAACGAAACGGCCCGTTCAACGAGGGTGTACGCCACGCTACTATTAGAGCCCGTGTCCATGGACCATACGTGGACCCTCTCGCGACGTTTCCCACCGTGGCAAAGAAATCGCTACCAACCTACGTTACGAGGATAAATGTGAAAGAAGAGGGGACGACTTTCCGTCCTGCGTAAATACGGATTTTTGAGATTACCGGTGGAGACAAATTGACAGTCAACGAGCGGTTGCACGGGCAAGGTCGCAGCTACCACGTGGTCAGCCGTAATTCTTCCTCGAGAGAATCGAGTTAAATCGGAAGAGCCAAATGGCCCCTCGGCATCGGCCATGTTTCGTCCAGATTGAAATAAATTGGCCGAATTGCCGGCGGGCAGCGGGGAGCGACACCGATTGCCTCGACCGCACGTCGCGGACTGCAACAATGACGCCCCCCACTCCGCGGCAGGTTCCCCCACTCCGCGCCGCGGCAGCCAATCGACGCGCGCATTGCCCCTCCTCTCGCCCTCAAGCTTCCCCTATATCACGAAAAATAGAATAAAACATAGATAACCAAGTGCGGGGCAACGCCGCTATCTAGGACGCCGAGTCGACAGTTGCTCCGTCGCACAAGGGTGGGTTCCCGGGTTCCCGGGTTACAGAGGCGTTCGTAACACAGGGGTCGACGAGGAAGGACAAACCCGGGGCGGTTTCGCGCCGGTTGTGCAGCTTTTCTTCCTCGCCGGCCTCTAACAATTAGGGCTGCCTCGGAAGTGGCAACAATTGAAAGTTACAGGATGGGCGGGGCTCCCGAAAGCCGACACAACACGCGAGATGTCAGGGAGGGAATATCAGGGGTCCTTCGACCCTATTTTGCTCGAGGGGAAGGGGATTTTTCGACATCCTTTTTTTTTACACCCCGCCGACCCTGCTTTTCTCCTTTTCTCTCTGTTTCTCGAGTGTTAATCACATATCGAGTAAAAATTCCAAGATCGGCAACCCAAGATTCCGACGGCAAGGGTCACTACCCCATGATCGTCCTCGTATATCTATACGAGTGACATATGTCGCATCGTAAAAAGATCCAAGAGATCGAATTTCCAGCCCCTGGTTTACTCGGTATCTCTGTCGATGGGTCGCCATAGTTATTTCGAGACTTTTTATGCCTCCATCCTCCGCGCTTCCAAGATGGCCGCCAATTTCTCGGAGGGACGGACAGAACAAGGCGGAAATTCGCGGCCCGCATTAAAACGGGGACAGGAGACGGGAGCACAGTCCCATCTAGCGGTGTGAGTATTTCATGGGGCGCCCGAGGAGACCCCATTCAATTCCATCCGTCATTCCAAGTCCAAATATGGCGGCATTATGTGGGGCAAACGTTTCTACCTTTCCGTGGCGTACACCTTGAGGTACCTTCCCCGGAGCTTGCTCTTTAACCGTGCTGACCATTTCGCGAGTCATTCATCCGCATTCGCCCCTTTTTCGCTCGGTAATGGCGGCGCACCCTTCCGCGCATTCGGATATTTTACTAATTCAACAATTCCCCGCAGTGGAGTCCTCGGGAACCGCGGAGAAGCGCGACGTGCCACGCGAAAAGTACGGATCCATTCGAGGTCTCTTCTTTACGATCCGGGAGATATTATTACGCGGTGCATTAAATCTCCCCCTGTCTCCGTCATAAAGGTGTATGGAGTAGATCGGGGAGGAACGGACGAGGTTGGAGAAACTCGTTTCCAGGTCGAGGCTGCGACAATTTGGACCAATCTATTTAATGGGCTCATAAAAATGGCAGCTTTTGCCATTTTCATTCCCGTTGGTCCAGCCCACATAATTTAATTCAAGGGTACTCGAGAGCGTACCGTATGTCGTTAAAAATTCGATGACGCGTGGGCTCCTCTTCCGGGACGAATTGACGACGTAGGGTAACAGATTTCTCCGTACGTAGGGATAAATCGTAGCGATAAGTCGTAACGATAAATCGTAGCTATAAATTTGGACGCCTTCGAGCTCATCCCTGACTAACGAAGTTTGTCCGCGTTACAGATCCAGGATGCAGCCGTTCTCGTCGAGCACCACCACGGGCACGGAGACGCCGACGAGCCTTCCTCCGGAACGCGTGTCTTCGCCGACGCCATGCAGGAACCTGACATTCTCGATAGCGAAAATCATGGAGCCGGACAAGCGGCTGTCGGAGCCGACGCAGCCGACGCCGCCGACGATCCTGCACCAGCCGACGAACCTGTCGTCCCTGTCGTACTCGGCACACCTGGAGTCGGCCTTCAAGAAGTACGTGCCCACCCTGAGGCACCAGAGTCTGCTGCAGCACTACCCGCTGCTCTACTACCACCCGAGTCCGCTCTTGAGGGCGTTTCCACAGCCGGCCTCGACGGCGTCCTCGGGGGCGTCGCAAAATTCGTCCCCGTCGACCCTGCAGGAACCCTCGAGGGCGAATCCTCTGACGAGCGGTTCCTCGGAAGCCCAACGCGGGAAGAAAAGTCCTGCCCCCAGGGAGGTGAACCCTGCCAAGCAGAAGACCTTCACCTGCCCCGAGTGCGGCAAGGTGTTCAACGCTCATTACAACCTGACGAGACACATGCCCGTCCACACGGGGGCTCGGCCATTCGTCTGCAAGATCTGCGGCAAGGGGTTCCGCCAGGCCAGCACCCTCTGCAGGCACAAGATCATCCACACTGCGGAAAAGCCGCACAAGTGTCAGACCTGCGGGAAGGCGTTCAACCGCAGCTCCACCCTGAACACCCACACGAGGATCCACGCCAACTACAAGCCGTTCGTCTGCGAGTTCTGCGGCAAGGGGTTCCACCAGAAGGGAAACTACAAGAACCACAAGCTGACCCATAGCGGCGAAAAGGCATACAAGTGCACCATTTGCAACAAGGCGTTCCACCAGATCTACAATCTCACGTTTCATATGCACACGCACAACGATAAGAAACCGTTCTCCTGCAAGATATGCGGAAAGGGGTTCTGCCGGAACTTCGATCTGAAGAAGCACATGAGGAAGCTGCACGACTCGGGATCGCCGGTCATGGGTGGGCTAGGTGGAGGCGCCCAAAACCATGGCCAGCAGACCGGCTACTCGCCCGTTCATCACGGTGGGCACTCCTTTGTCAGCCCCTTTCTTTTGCCTCCACCCGGGACCACCGGATATCTCGGCAAGATGTTGTGACAGGAAAACGCACACTTCGCGAGGAAGACTCACTGTCCGCTGATTCTGACTCCTGGGTGCTACCCACCGGACGTGGCGCAGCTTACTAGGTCCCCGGAGTGAGCCCCCGGGGCGAAGGTAGACGCAGCCGATGGGGATTGGCTTGGGTTATGGTGTTCCCTCGTGGCCGCGGCTTCGACTATGGGCCGAGCCCGGCGACCTGGGACTCTAATCGTCGTGCATTTCCGGAATGATACCAAAGAACATCCGACGAACCGTAATAAATGGGTGTCGCGATGAGGCTGGAACTCCGTAACCTGGGGTCCGGGAATTGGCTCTTATCGGCACCTCCCGGGTCATTTTAATTCCCCTGGATTTCTGGATCACTTTTTAGCGTCGCGAGAAACGCGGAGGTCGCTAATTGGAGCAGTTACCTGATCGATGGGTAAATGACGCAGAGTAACTCTCGCCCTGCCGCGGGCTTTCTACATGTAGACTGGAACGACGTAATCGAGTACCTTTTCGGCCGATTCGACGATCGTTGATCTTTCTGGAATTGTTAATTCGGGGTCTAAGAGCGAAAATCGCTGACAAGAGCCTCGGCAAAAGGAATTCGGGCCGAGTCGTTCTTCTCGTGGCCTCGGATCTTCGAGATCCTCTTTTTCGAGGTCGGGGGAAGCTCTTTCGAAAAATTCGCAGGCGACTCGCAAAGCATGAGTCCTCGTGGAATTATCTGTCGGGCTGGCCTGAAATCCGCTAGTAAACCGGCATTGTGTTCTCGATATGCCCCCAGAGGGCCCGTACTTGTTGAAGTGCGCAGCTCCAGTGGGAAGTGGTACACCTGTACAGGCTTACCAGACTTTCTCCCTGTGCGAGGTCGAAAGAAGCGAACCGAGGGTAAATCGAACCGATGTTACCCTACAATGTCAATGGAAGGATCAAAGAAATAGGAAAAAACGAAAACGAGCGAATAGAACATTGTTTCCCATAACGCTTATTCCGGCTATATCGAAGGCTAGGCAGTTTTTTCTTTTCCGGGTAGTCCTTTCCTTACCAAAGTTATAAGTATTAGTAGGAGGCATTGACGGGAGGCGCGATTAAAGTGGGAATTACGGCGGAATAAACGCGAATTTCTGATCCGTTGCCATCTTCGTGCGACGGATCGATTCGCTCGCGATTGGTACGGGCAATCGCGGTATGTTTAATCGAGGAGGTGCAATCGAGGTATCCCGAGTGGCTGTTTGTTTGTAAATATTTGTAAATACCCTGTGTGTATATTAAATGTGTTACATTAGCGATAGATGTTATGTGGAGGGAAGGAAATCGCAGGCGGAGAGCAAAAGGGGAGAAGGCCCAGCTGGGATGTGTTCTTTGACATCGATTCACACTTTTTCGAAATTCATTTGTTAAATCGATGTATCAATTAATGGGGGGATTTACTTTGAGTAATGGGGCGGTCGAAAGGGTCGGATGCTGTCGGAGGAAGGGACGCATATCTATCTATCCATTAGTCAAATGTATAAATCGGTGTGATAGTAGCTTTAAGGCATTAAGGTAGATAGCAAATGAAATGTCAGTTAGACGCGCCAGTGTTCGCCAAAATGGCGGCGCGAGGGAAATCGAGTCGGACTCTTCTCGGGCGGAAGTTACTCTCCTATTTTTTAATCCCCGTAAAATTGACAAATTACGCTCGACGAGATTTTCCCAAACACCTCGCGATTTCGGCGAACACTGGTCTCTTAATACTATCGGATGTAATTGTTGTATTGCGACCGCACAAACAATTGCGATCGGCAGGAGGCTTTGCAATAGTGGCGAGGGGAAGTGTCGTTCGCGTTTTCGGAGATATTCGGGACGGTATATAAATATTATAAATATTACACGTGCAGCTATGGGTAATTATCCGTTTTTCTTTCGTTTATACGATTCAGGGTAAAGTATGCATAACCGTAGCTCTTTTTTTTTTTTCTCGGCCCACCGGTCGAGGTCCAATTTTCCAAACTCAAGGGCTTGGGAATCCGCGAACTTCGGAATTGACTGATATGCTAGCTGATTAATGATAACGTTATCGCGTACGTATACGGCATTTGCGCCCCTCTTCCAGCTCGGTGTTTTCTCTCTACTTCTTGATCGAATCAGGAATCGGAAGGGTCGTTTCTCTCTCGTTTTCTGTTTCCATTTCGTACCGGCGGTCGATCGCCTCGAGTGCGAGCCCTTATCAAAAGTCCATCTTTGCATCTGTAACCCGGCAAAGTAGATACGCCGCAATAAACAATGAACTATCTAGGATTAAGAGGACCGATTACGAAGTAATGTATGTAGATATATGTAACATCGGTAGAGCAGATGAAAGTGCATATGTACGTGTCCCCCGTTGTAAATATAAGTCGATCCAATGCAATAAACTCGTCCACGTAAAGACCACCGCTCAGTCACTGTCCAAAAAAGAGACATCACGATAATTAATCGAAAACCACCTCACCGTTCTCAAAAAAGGCTGCCTTACATTTCCCCACCCTCATTACATATATCCTTTCCTTAAATCAGAAAAAAAAAAAAAAAATGTTCCTTTCACTTTCATGAAATCTATCTCCGATCTGGGTGTACCGAATCATTTAGAACTTTACAACACGAATGTGGAGGTTACGAGGAAGATCTCGATACCTACAAAATGTCATACTTTAAAAAAAAAAAAAATGTTGAAAATGTCCGTGAACAAATTTTCAAAACATTAGAATTCCTTGGGTGTCAGGACCTTCTTTATAACCTTCACATTCACATTGAAAAGTTTGACGAACTTTCATATCACCTTAAAAAATATTCTTTTCCTTTCGTTAAAACAGCTAAAACGCGGCTAAAAATCGTTGGAAAAAGATGTTAAGAAAATTCGTGCCTCGCGACCTGTATACCGTATAAAAAAGGGAGGGTCGTGATCAGCACTCGTGGAGTGCCGGTTCACCTTAGATGGAAGAGGTGCAATCTTTCAGGCACATCGAGCAGGCCGAGGCCCGATTCGATCTCTCGTAAACGGGCGAGAAAGAGAGGGAGAGAGAGAGGGAAAGACGCGCGCGACCCGATGCGATCTCCTCCGGAGGGGAAAAACCGCGGAGAGAGGGGGCGACCCGGGCCGAGAGGTCCGACGCATCATCTGCCATTAGGCTCGATGCGATCTGCGGGCCGCGAGAGCGAGCGAGAGCGAGCGAGAGGGGCAGAGAGAGGGACGGAGAAAGGGAGACGTGCTTCCGTCCCGATCGTGCCGGGAGATATCCGCGAGCCTTCTGATGTATCTACGGAATCTGTCCTCCATCCATTAAATCCGCTCCCATCCGCCACCTACTCGACCCTTATCAAACTACCCCGCTCTCGTTACGGCATATAGGCCCTATCTACGGCGGCTCCGCTCTTTACGGGCTCGTTGAGGTTTAACGATTTTGCATCGCCTCGCCACTGCGCAACGCGGGCCCACCTTTCGCCCCCAAACGATTATTTCCACCTCCGCGATTTATGGCTCCGGTTTATCGGCAGTCGGGGGTTTTTATCAATAGTTCGAGGCAGTGGAGCTTTATTTCTAGAGCCGGGGAGGATTTATCGCTAACAAATGGGTTATTAAAGATGGGTGGAAGAGAAATTCGTACGTCAAGGTTGGGACAGGATTTAGGAGGGTCTCCGGGTCACTCCCGGCCGCCATTTTGGATTCGGACGCCGGAGAGAAGAGAGTCTCTCGTCCGTGGAAACTTTTCTCCCGCGGCTTCCCAGCTACGTTCTCTCCGATTTTCACCCCCCGGGGGATGCGCCGCGGGGCGCTTGTATACAAACAAGTATTTAGCGGCATTTAATGGGAATTACCGCATGAGACGAACAATTAGGGGAGGATTATTGACACCTGGGCGGGGCGTCACGCTGTTCCCTAAGTCGGTGCCTCCTTGCTTCCGTTACGAGCTCAACACCCCGAAATAGAACTTCCCGCGTCCTTCTTTGCCCGACGCCGCTCCTCCGCGATTCCGGTTTCCTCAAATCCAGCTCCGTTCTTTGCCCAAGAACGCCGCGAGGCGATTGTCCGAAAGGGAGAAAATGCCCTCGGGATTCCAAAGAGTCGGGCGGTTCATCCCGGGGGAGGAAAAAATTAGACGCTGGCCCCGCGTGGCCAACATGGCGGCCGCGGGACCCTCGACGGCGTTCGAGTTAATATGTAATACCCCGTAATTGGTTAAAACCCGTAACTGATGAGTGAACTGTAAGTTATTACGGAAGAGAGACCCTCGGCTCCATCGGGGCACGGTTCAACACCTCCTCGTCACCCTCTTGATCCCTGCTAATATCGGCGAGGCATTATGCTCCTTGTGCCGCCATTGTGCGCGGCGCCCTCTCGGATCGCCGGAACGCGTCGGGAATTCGCTCAGATGAGCCCGCGGCAAAGACTTAACGGTTCGATTACTTTCAAAGATTACGCGCTTCCGAGCCGCCCTCGAAATCCGCGGAATTTCGCCCTCTCCCCCCGCCGAAAATTCGAGGCCGCGCTCTCGAATTCGAGGGCCGCCGTTTTGTACCGACGAATAACGACGCGTGTTTTAAATCCGATACAGAGGTACGCATATCGGGGATGTTATACTCGATACGTTTTACGCGGGTTTTACCCTGTCTCCCTGTTTACGCTTTCGTTATTCGGATACGCAGAGGAAGGTGCTCATCGATTTCTTCGCTTCTCCTTCCAGCGCGCGAAATTCAAAATGGCGGAAGGGTTCCCGAGCGGCGCGTCTTTTCGGAAAGCTCTCGGGGATAATCCTCGGAATAAATTGCCGCTGCCCGGCAGGAAGCCGGCGCATTATTCGCAGAACGAGTGTCGGCGCAGATAACGAGCCGAGGGCACATAATTGGCGGATCAGGTGTCGGCAATGCGTCCTCCCTCCCCCACCAGGTGGATTTCATTGTGCACCTCCGGATCATTATCCACGGGCCGACGCCTCGCAGGAACTCCGAAAATCGAGGGACGCTTACGACTCTGCTTTTCGGGAAGCCGACTCGCTCGGCAGGAAAAAAATACGTTCCGTGGAATCCCAAAGGAAATAATATTTTCAGACAAAAGTGTCAAAAACTTCACGAGGAATATATACGT